GGGTTTGTATTGTTTAAATCGAACTATAAATCTCTCTAAATGAGATTTTTCCTAAACCAGCATCTTGATTTATGTGAATCTGTATTATATAAGTTATAAACTTAGTTCGATTGATTTAAACAATCCCGGAAAGATGTGTATACCATGCCATTGCTCATGCAAATATATATTAGATCTTAACCAAAATAAACAGATATTGTGGACAAGACAGCAAGTTTTGTGGCAAGAAATGGTTAGTATATAAAGTTWACTTGAAAAGTGTGTTACATGTATATGTAAAGATAGATTTCACATGAACGTATACATCAACATACATGTATTACAGGATATCTAATCTAAACTTTTAAGTCTGTTCACTAGCAAATGAAATGCCAAACTTTGGAATGAAAATTCATTAGTCGGACTAGCCGAAGGCGAGGTCCGACTTTAAAATTACCTTTTAGCCAATCTATCTGTGTATCATGTCGCATTTGGACCACCGGAAGTTAAGAATTTAATAATTAACTATTGGGTTGGCTGTGTTATTACATGACCGGAAGCTCAAACGTATTGATGTACGAATATCGTTAGTAAATATCATATGCTACTTGCGCTTTTATATGACATACATTTACATCTCATAAACTTTTGGCTGAATATTGTAATGTCTATCTTTTTTACAGGACCTGAATTTGAATCGAGAATCCGACAGAATGAGATCAACAATCCAAAGTTCAATTTCTTGAACAATGGCGATCCATACAATGCCTACTTCCAGCACAAAGTTAAAGAATTTAAAGAATCACTAGGCAAAGGTTAGTAGTCTTTACAATTGCTCAGGGTTCTAAACTTTAGTAATTAATTAATTAATAAGTCAAAAAAATGGCAGTGTACTAAGCAAAGAAGTTTACAGTTTACAGGGAAGTGACTGTGAGTGACAGAGTATTCACCTACAATAACTCTTCGATTGCTAACGCAATATATAAGTTAAAAAGTGCTTAATTAATTGTACTGAATTCTGTGAATTCCTTTGTTTTCTATTGTCTAATCTTGACTACTATTTTGCACAATTTTGCACTATTTTGCACTATTTTGCGCTATTTTGCACTATTTTGCACTATTTGGTTAAGTACTTTTTCATGTTTTCAGAGTTGTATTCTTTCTAAAAGTTTATCTGTTGCCCCATGAATATACTGTACTGTTTATACATACTGTGTTCTCTTGAGTTTAAAATGTTTTATACATGTACAGTGTTCTGATAAAAAGTTTTTTATAAATTGTACCTTTTGATTAGGTGCTGAGCTGGCTATTACACCATTTCCTTCTGCTATTACTCCTGCACCTCAAAAGGTTGGTATAAAATACAGTAATTATTATTAATTAAACTCATCGGTACAGATGACTATGGAATATAGTGCCTATATGCATATATTGACCAAGATGGTGTATCACCAGACATGACAAGGAGGCAACCATGGTAACCAAACCACAGTCAACCACCTGGCACTAGTTACATTGACAAAGTCAATGGCGTATACTAAAAAAATTCATGAATTGCTTTCTTGTCAGCCCAAACCTTTGATGCAGCAACAGGTTACAATTCCTGAATCAATCATTCCTAAAGAACCACCACCAGAGTTTGAATTCATGGCTGAGCCTCCAAGTATTTCAGCATTGGATCTGTAAGTCCTAACATTATTAACACAGCAGGCACACTCAAGCCTGATAAAATACTGATAAATAGGTTTGGGATATGAGTAGCTCCACTTTGAATTACCATCAACCTTTTGCTTTATGACATGTCAAACCTAATTCTGTTGCGATGATAAGATGATGAAATTGTTACCCTTTTCGTGTTTGAAGTTGAANATATGCTCTCATACATGTGTTCATATCAATTCATTTATTCTTSTTTTCTTGTATTTCAGAGAAATTATCAATTTGACTTCTTGAGACCACAGCACAGCTTGTTCAACTATTTCACTAAACTTGTTGAACAATACACAAAGGTACAAATGTAGTTTATATTGTAACACAAATGTCAAATGATATTTGAACTAAATTTGTCTTTAAATATTGTTTTAGGTCCTTATACCACCAGCCAACATCAAAAACAAGCTTAGAATTGATGTMAATGACCCTCACAAGGTACAACTTTTTCGCAATTCAAAAACGTAAAAAAGATATTTTAATAAATATATAACATTATTTTAGATGAATGTTTTACTTATAAATTGGTTGTCATTTTAATGTCTTGTAGATCCTCGATCGTGTTAAGTACAGAGTTGAGTGGGTGAAGCATCAAGAACGAGAGAAGCAAAAGCTGGAAGATGAGAAAGAAAAAGAACGAGTTGCATTTGCATCTGTTGACTGGCATGATTTTGTGGTCGTTGAAACAGTGGAATTTAAAGAGAATGAAGGAGGTAGATAAATTGAAATTATAATATAGTTATTGATTTATGGCCGTTACTAATTTGTATATGATTGTTGTATTTGGAGAATTTTTAAATTTATTATTGTTGTATTTGTTACCGGTCATCTCGCCCCATTGGCATCTTACACACATCTTCTTGCCTCCACTATGCCATCTATGTTGTATTATTAAGATTGTATAACTTGAAAATAATTTGAAATAAATAATTTGAAAATAGTAATTATACATCATTTTAGTATAAGCAAAAACATACTAATGTTAAATGTAAAACTGACAGATGGAAAGGTATTGTTCCTGGCATTTTTTTATTGCATTTCTTGTGTTTTCCTAAGGTTCATTGCCACCTCCTGTAACAAGAGAACAACTGGGAGCCAGAATCTTAGCTCAGGAACGTTACGAGAAATTTAAGGTAAACTTTGCCACTGCACCGCACAACAGTCCAAAACTACATCATGTATTATTGTACAATAGAGCTGTTTTAATTTTACAGATGAAAATTACTATTAATTAKTTAGTATTTTCAGAATTTCTTTGTATGCAGGCATTTGTTTATAAATGAAGTTGTTAGTACATGTAATACACATAGCTAATGGTAAAGTGCTCAAGAGGAAACTAGCAAAGACATAAAAAGCATTTGCACTAATTAGTATTTGTTGGTAAAGAAGAAAAGAAAACAATAGATTCAGAGTGAGATTTCACGGTCACTTTGCCTTTTGTTCAGGGAGAAGCTGTTACTAACGAAGATGTCAACATGGATGTTGAAATGGAGGTGGATGAACCCAGCAATGAACCTCCATTACCTCCCCCCTCAAGAGAGGTATGTGTAGGATTTACCTAGTTGAACTGTAATGATTAGTAATGATTAGATTCTTGCATCTTATAAATAATTCATATTGTTACCACTGATTGCTGTTGTTGATGTTGTTGATCATACATACATGTACATGTAGCCCTTGACATGCCTTGATGCAGTTCACCTACGACTCAACTATCAATAGTCGACTTTAGATATTTTGGTCTCAGTGACCATGCACAAAAGAATTGCAGACGAGGCTCCGGGGAAATAAAAGAATAAATCAAGATTATCCATTGTTTTCCCGGAGCCTTGTGTGAGTTGTTTTGTACATAGTCATCGAACCAAAATATCTTTTAATATCTTTTTAAAAGTTGACTATTAAGGCTGTTATCTCGAATAGTAGAAAATTAGGCCAGAACTCAGGAGGTTTTGAGCTCAAATCGCAATCAAAGTCCAGGGATTTTCTCTGATCATCTAGTCAACAAAATATTACAGCTGTTGTCTCAGATAGNACAGATGGAAGCATATTGCAAATGGATATTTGAAGTTCCCCGCATTTTCCACATAAGGTGAAAAATCTAAACCAAGATCACATTGAAAAGCCAGTTGACCATGCCCCTTTGAGGTCACCTACAACAGTTTTGAGTGACACTGTGAAGCAGTTCCTGCATTTTTTTTGCTAATGTTTCTTGTGTTTTCCTAAGGCTCACTGCCACCTCCAGTAACAAGAGAACAACTGGGAGCCAGAATCTTAGCTCAAGAACGTTATGAGAAATTTAAGGTAAACTTTGCCACTGCACCGCACAACAGTCCAAAACTACATCATGTATTATTGTACAATAGAGCTGTTTTAATTTTACAGATGAAAATTACTATTAATTAGTTAGTATTTTCAGAATTTCTTTGTATGCAGGCATTTGTTTATAAATGAAGACTGCTTCTTCTAAGCGGCCATTTTCAAAGTTGTTAGTACATGTACATGTAATACACATAGCTAACGGTTAAGTGCTCGAGAGGAAACTAGCAAAGACATAAAAAGCACGCACAATAATTAGTATTTATTGGTAAAGAAGAAAAGAAAACAATAGACTCAGAGTGTGATTTCACGGTCACTTTGCCTTTTGTTCAGGGAGAAGCTGTTACTAACGAAGATGTCAACATGGATGTTGAAATGGAGGTGGATGAACCCAGCAATGAACCTCCATTACCTCCCCCTTCAAGAGAGGTATGTGTAGGATTTACCTAGTTGAACTGTAATGATTAGTAATGATTAGATTCTTGCATCTTATAAATAATTCATATTGTTACCACTGATTGCTGTTGTTGATCCTACATACATGTACATGTAGCCCTTGACATGCCTTGATGCAGTTCACCTACGACTCAACTACCAATAGCCGACTTTAGATATTTTGGTTCAGTGACCATGCACAAAAGACTTGCAGACGAGGCTCCGGAGAAATAAAAGAATAAATCAAGATTATCCATTGTTTTCCCGGAGCCTCGTGTACATGTAGCCCTTGACATGCCTTGATGCAGTTCACCTACGACTCAACTATCAATAGTCGACTTGAGATATTTTGGTTCAGTGACCATGCACAAAAGAATTGCAGACGAGGCTGCGGGGAAATAAAAGAATAAATCAAGATTATCCATTGTTTTCCCGGAGCCTCTCGTGTGCGTTGTTTTGTACATAGTCATTGAACCAAAATATCTTTTAATATCTTTTTAAAAGTTGACTATTAAGGCTGTTATCTCGGATAGTAGAAAATTAGGCCAGATCTCAGGAGGTTTTGAGCTCATATCACAATCAAACCAGGGATTTTCTCTGATCATCTAGTCAACAAAATATTACAGCTGTTGTCTCGGATAGTAGAGAGTCATGCCAGAAATCAGATAATTTTGTTTTGAAATCCCAATCAAACCAGGTTTTATTTCTGATCATCTTATCAACAATATGTGCTGTATAATATTCCCCTTTTATATGATATACAGTACATACATGWATCTTTAGATGATTCTAAATTATTAGTATTTTTGTTCATTCTTAACAATTTCTTCATACTATAGGATATGGATGTTGATGGGCCTCAACCACCTAAACAGTCCGAACCTGTCATCAAACCCCCACCCCTCCCTCCCTCAGGTCCAGGTGCMTATGCACAGATTCGACGTGACTAYGATCCTAAAGCRCCCAAAGCGGCCCCTACTCCTTTGGTGCCTGAAAAGTTCCTTATTTCGCCCATTACTGGTGAACGCGTGCCTGCTTCTCAAATGGCTGAACATATGAAAATTAATTTATTGGATCCTCGCTGGAAAGAGCAGAGAGATAGGGCAATGAGCGAGAAAAAGACGCAAGAGGAAGTTTTTGCAGAAGGTAAMGACTATCTCCTAAATACAATTAACTCTCTTTGAACRACCACTCTCGACCAACTCCCGTAAGCGACCACCTTTTAAATTTCCAATTTTGTTAATTCCCATATAAACTCTGTAAAAAACTTTCAAAAACTTTCTCGTAAGCGACCATCTCTCGTAAGCGACCACTTTTTCCTGATCGCGAGGTGGTCGCTTACGAGAGAGTTAACTGTACCATACTCTTCCAAGAGAAAGGTGTGATGGTCTAATTGTGTAGGCATCAAACTTCATGTCTATTTGTTGGAGGTMCAGACCAGGCGATCACCTTGCGACCTTAAGGCCCGTTTACACTGACTTGCAATTTTGCAGAGCGATTCTCGCGGCGATCGTCGCTCAACCAACCGCTTGAAAATTGTCTGCAACTTTGCGGCAATTTTCCATCCCCGCAACAATCGCCTGTCTGTTTACACGTACGATTTGAGTTGCGCGATAGCAAAGTGACGATTATCGCGCTGCAAAAGTTGCAAAGTGTAAACCGGCCTTTACATAGCTCTCACTGTGAGACTATTGTCATTTTGTAATGCAGCTAATAAGACCTAGTAATGGAAACTCGATGGGAAACCCCCCTCCACACTAAGTTTCATTTACGCTGCCACAATATGAATACAGGAATCCCACAACCTTATATTCTCACAAAACGCCAAAAGGACACCCCTTGTTCTGGCTAAGAACCTACACCATRAGGGTTTCAAGGTTGAAAATCTGTTCTATTTCTGTCTAGGTGTTGCCATTGGAAGCAGTCTGAAACAACTTGCAGAAAGACGTACAGATATCTTTGGTGCTGGTGATGAAGAGACAGGAATTGGTCGCAAAATTGGTGAAGAAGAGGAGAAGAAACCAGAAAAAGTCACATGGGATGGACATACTGGCTCAATGGCCGCCACGTCAAGAAGAGCWCAGGCTGGTATCACTGTGGAACAGCAAATTGAAGCCATTCACAAGTCTAAAGGGCTAATGTAAGTGAAGTGCACATATTTTGTAGTTTTTGTATTATTTTTCGGTCCGGTATCCTAGTCATTCGCGCGCTGCGATTGGCTAGCGCGCGGTCCGGTATTTCACGATCTGCCCGCTCTATGGTATTTGTAGGTTGCGAGCAAAGTAGCAGAAAATACAAATAAAAAAATTGGAAATGTTATTCCGTACCGGTTATAGGTCGGTCCGTATAGGAAAACACTGCTCTCGGTCTTTTATATACGGACCTCGCTGCGTTCATTCCTAACTGTCAAGACCTCGGGCAGTGTTTTCCTATACGGACCTCCCAGTCGGTAAATAACATATATTTTCGTGCAAGATCCCTATGCTCTTAAATTTGGGCTTTACCAATATGGAAAAGGCAAAATGGCTGGTTGTTGAAAAGGATTTTCGCTATGCATCTCTAAGTTTCAGACCATTAAAAGCAGTTTAAAAAATTGACAAAAACTGGTCAGCCATAACCTGCTGACAATTTTTCTAAAGTTATCCTTTGATATCTGCTATTTTGTGAAACAGAACATACAATAGCCTTCACTCTTTTTCATTTCACTACAATAGACTTCCCAAGCTTTTTTTGTTTGAAAACAATTAAAAGGGCAAAGACTACAACGTTGTACAAAATGGCGTCAATGCATATTGCATGTTGTGACAAGTACTGAAATGACAACAAAATCAATTTTTCGACATTTTCAGCATTCAAAAAATCATTTTAACATCTACTATAATCAAATTTGTTTTGCAATATTTCAACTATTATTACAGACCATCAGAAGAGAGCGAAAGAATAGGTCCAAAAGTCCCACAACACCCTTCTGTTGCAGAAATTATACGGGGTGGACCTCGGCCACCAACAGGGGCAATGCCCCCACCRCCATCTGCTATGATGAATGTACCACCCCCTCCCCCTCCGTCTATGCCACCATCTGGACCACCAAAGTTTATGGGTAAGCTAAAAGTTGTTTTTTAAACAGTTTGTTTCGATTGTTACATGTACACCTATTTCAAAAAACATTGTCGGGGAAAACGGCGATTGTCGAAGGGAGATTGCATGACCGAAAGGGACTATGGTTACACTGTTTTGATTAACAAAATTTCGCTTATTGGATTCACCTTGCATAGAAATGGAGACTAAATGGAGCTAATTTTTACCATAGACTATCTTACAGTACAAATCAGTTGTTAATTGCCTTTCAACTAGCAAAACCCATGGCTACTTTCGGTCGTGCAATCGCCGTTCGACCACTGACATTCGCCATTTTATCCGACAACATTTTTTGAAATAGCTTTATAACCAAAATTTGAAATCGATCAGTATGTCAAAATCTTTTACTACCTTAAAAAGATTCTCCTAAAATTGCCAAGAAAAGAGACATGTATAGTGCTCCATAATCATATTTTGTTTATTTTAAATTCATCAGGTGTTCCACCTCCTCCACCACCTGGAGGACATCCAATGCCGCCCCCTCCCCCTCAGTTTATGAGCATGCCCCCAGGACCACCCCCTATGCCCATAAGACCTCCCCCACCACCTCCCCCCTCAAACAAGAGAGAACACGAGCCTGATGACTCAGCGGCCAAGAAAAGCAGAATGGAAGGCTCAGAGGCAAATCTYATCCCAGAGGAGGTGTTCTTGAGGACGAATCCTAACCCAGTGACGTTTACTGTTCATATTCCTGGCATGCCCGATAAGAGTGAATGGAAACTCGATGGGAAACCAATCAGCCTTACCCTACCCCCCACAGACCAGGTATGTACTGTAAATTTAATCTCTGTTTTGTCGAATGACCTCATTGGTGTGGTGGATACGGAGAGATCGTAGAATTYAGCCCATACATACGAACAAGTCGGTACTATGAATTTAAGGACCGGAAATTACAGTTGTAACTTCATTCCTSACCAGCCTCATTTTGTTTTGTTTTGGTTTGGGTTTTTGGTTTGGGTTTTAGTTTTTTTTGGGGGGGGGGTTTCAAAGCTTTGTGAATATTTAACACGTAAACTAGGACTCCGACAATGGACTGGTTTAGATATACTCTTTCTTATGATGAAATTTTTAAAAAAACATTGTACGTTTAAGATACGGTCCAAGTCTCCTGTTCTTCTTGACATTGTTTAATGTGTAGATCTTTTATAATTGTAAATTCCCGCGCTTTTGCAATTTGATTTGACGCGCGCGGCCAACAAGCTCCACTCCCGTGGTAAAAATTTGAACCAGTTTGAGCGCTTCCAAAAAGCGAACCTCGGCTATTATTTACAGTAGTTAAGTCCTGCTTGTTTAGTTGTTTAAAATGTTTTTATGCCCAAATAAAAAACAAAACATGTTTTTTTTCCTAGGTTTCTGTCATTAAGGCGAAGATTCATGACGCTACTGGTATGCCTGCTGGCAAACAAAAACTGCAGCTTGGGGTACGTATCTTATCGAGTCTGGTTCAAAACAAACAACGAAACTTACTTTGTCTTCCAATACACAACCGCCTAACATTTGTCGTTACTTTATTGTCGCTGTTGTTGCTGTTGCTGTTTCTATTGTTTGCTGCTTCTGTTGTTGTTGTTGTTGATAATGATGATGCTGTTGTGGTTGTTATTGTTTTGCTTTCGCTGTTGTTAACTGTCGCTGTTGTCGTTGTTGTTGCTGTTGTTTCTTGCGCCCTGTCATACATATATTTGTGTTGCACTTGTCCTTGTTATTGCTTTCTTTGTTGTTTTTCTTTGTTATAGTTGTTGCTGTTATTGTTGTTGCTGTTGTTGTTGTTGCTGTTGTTGTTGCGCCCCGTCATACATATATTTCTGTTTCTTGTCCTTGACATTGCTTTCTTGTTGTTTTTCCAGGGTATTTTCATCAAAGATTCCAATTCTCTCGCGTACTATAATTTTTCGCCAAGCAGTATTGTACAACTACAACTCAAAGAGCGTGGTGGACGAAAGAAATAAGATTGTTGTTTATTAACATTTTCAGTGCTGTGATACTTATAAGCTCTATGTATTCTCGTAAGTCTTGTAGTTCTCGGCTAAGTGTCTAATTAACGCT